GTCTGTTTTTACTGAGACTTCAAGTAAAGCATATTCCAGAGTGACTAGAAAGCAGTGACTGGGCATTTATTTTGTATGTCCTTGAGGATGCAAAGCTTTCTTTTATTGTTATATACCAGTTCTCAAATTTGTATTTTCCACCCAGTATTTCCTGGCAGTCCTCACTAGTAGAACAATATCTCTTCTCGACTTACTTCCTCACTGTCACCACGTGTTTCCTTCTGTCAGCCCTTTAGTTGATCCAATCATCTCTGTCAGTCTTTATGAGGTTTGTCTTCACATAATACACATAGTACAATTTTCCCCAGTCAACTTTAATATATTTAATATTTTGTTTATTTTAAACAGAACAATTCAAGAAATGTAAATTAAGGTGCTCTATAGAACTAATCTCTGAACTGTATGTGCCATTAAGGCCATGTTTCCACTGTGGTACAGCTCTATTCAACTCAACTTACTTTGGAACCAGGTGCTTGAATTAGTTTTCCACTGCAGACAGTCCCCCCTCGGGTTATCACCTGTTCGGTGTAACGGGGCCAAAGGGGACTGCCGTGACAAAGGGACACACGCTGGATTATTTCATATGCAAACAAAGTAAAGCACCAATGTAGTGGAAACAAATCGAACAGGATTAAGGGGGGAAGCAGTTTTCTGTCATGATCTCTCCTTAGTCCTCTCACTTTCTTCCTCTCTTGGTGAAACACAAAATACTTGTGTGTGTAGCCTGCAAGGTCACATTTCACTGGTGCTTGATATTACCTAGAAGTCTTAAAGCCTTATAGCATGTGTGAAAGTGCATGTGCACACACACATACACACTCTAGGCTTTCGGTGAAAGTTACCGTTAACACTCAGTTCAGTGCTACCCGCTAATAGCAGATGATGGTGTCCGTAAACACTCTCCACATAGCCAAATTACAGGGGGTTGAGAAGGAGAAGTGGGAGGCGACAAACACACAGTTGTCAGATTAGTTGGTCAGAGCGGAAAAGTACTGAGAGGCAGTGATATGAAGAGGTGTGAGTGTGGGGAGGCTTTCGTAGTGATAGGGTTGTAGCTGAGCCTGTCCCAAGACGCCATTCTGCATCTTTATGAAAGAGAATAACACATGGAATATTTATATTATTTAGTGTGTATAGGAAACATACAGAAGTTCAAATGAAATGTCCAACTTGTAAATGCACCATAAAGGCTTAGTACAATCTTAAGGGCTAATAAACGAGTGCAGGCAATTTAAAAAGTAAATGGGAATAATATTTCCCTATTTTTGGGGTACATATTATATGGCGTCTTCCTGATGGGGATTTTTGTGTTTGGTTTGCATCAAAATTACATTAAATTGCGAAAGAGTTATGGAAAGTTACCAGGTGCTGAGTAAGCACATTGCAGACGTTACATTTTTGGGAAATGACTTTGTGCTGATGCCTTCAGTTGATAAGTTCTTGCATGACGACAGGGAGATGATAGCTTTCTCAAAAACCTTGATGCCTTGCCTGTGTGTCTGTACACAGAGATAGGCGTGTGCTTATCCAACTGATAATGTAGCCAGGAAGTGTGACACCAATTGACAGAGCCAGGAGAATGAAGTGTGCTTCATGCACACTCCAATTTACCAAAAGTATACCTCAAGAAGTTGGGGGAATCATTTGGGTGACATTAGGTGCTGGGGGTGGTATGCTTGTTTTGTCGGTGTTGATCAACTACTGTTTCCTTGTGTTACACCCTTATCTTTGTTTTTTTGATAGCCGATTATGGCCCCACAACATAATATCTAGTTTTGGCTAAAACGTATGTTTTGCCGTTTGTTTTATATGGTTATATGTTTGAAAGGCCGTCTAACAGGTGGGTGTGCTTGACTGAATCCTCACATTTTAGTTGACAAACCTGTTTGTATTTGCTTACAGCCTTAATCTGCCTTCCAGGGAAATACTTCATCACTTAACATGCAGTGGGAAAAGTATTTTAGTGGGAATGCTGATACAGCATTCCAACTATCTGTTATGCTACGCAGGAAATTCTTTATTATTCCGCCGGGTTATTTTGTACCTCTTCTTCTCCCACATTCCACATCGCAGAAACTCCGTTCAAACATCAAAACGTTCAGCTCGGTCGGGAATCGATGGCTATTACTTTTCTTATTCATAACTTTCATAATTCCAGAGATACATCCCATAATTCATCAAATGTTTAACATGGAAGTCAATGGAGAAACTCTTCAGACTTGAACAATCTTCATGCAACTTCAACTGCTAACTGCTCCGTCATACTTTCACTCAGAAACCTCATTCCATCTTTAAAATGTTACACATCTTTCTGACATTATTCGTGTAACACAACTTTTAAATCTGATTCGTACTTTTAGAGATATTAAACATTGTTCAGACCTTGGTAAAGAGGCCTTCTTCAGATTTTAGAGTGCGTGATGTCACAGCTAGAGTGGAGGACAGATTACATTTTGCCTTCATATTTTCTTTTAAACCTGCCATAATTCCCAAACCCTACATTCCTGATACATAATTGTTCATGAGAAACGTAGGAAAACATCTCGTAGCTTGAAAATTAAAAATAAATTAAGCAAAATAATTAAACAAAATGCCTCTTGAGGGCATGAAGTGACAAAAACCTTCAACTTTAAACCCCATTGTAAATTCAGCCTCATCTTTCCCCACCACAGCAGCCGCACACCTTTAGTTAATCTGCCAAAAAGGCCACATTATTAACCCGAAAGTACACAAAAAGTACACTTCAGATGCTCAAGTTCCTTGACATGCTTCACGCTGTGAAATTTCACCGATATCTGTTATGGTTCTTCAACAAAACGTTCACATGTAAGAGGTTTATCTCTCATTCAGAAAAATGAAAATGCTCTCCTCTCACTGATTACTGCACATCACCATGGAAACCTTTGATCTCTGGACACGTCGTTAGATCAAATATAAACACCTGTGTCATGGAACACGATGATGTCATAATTCCAACTGACATGCTCAGAGCACCAGACTTCAGATAATGGTTAATGGTCCTGCCCTCAACAGCTCTACGTCAATTATGGGGTGTCATCATATGCCGTTTCCATGGTGCATTTCGCCATAAAAGACGATGTCGCTATAACTCCTATGAAAATGTTCAAAAAGTGCTCAAACTTCACATGTGTGCTAACAGTCCAGCCGTGAAGACATCTACGAGACAGTTTTGAGATTTCTTCAAATGTCGTTGCCATGGCAACACAATGCTCACCATGAAACACGGTTTTCTCATAACTTCAGTGAAAATGCTCCAAACGGCCCAAAACTTCACAGGTTTGGTAACGATGCAGCCATCAACGCATCTAAGCGTATTATGGGATGTCATCAAATGCCGTTGGCATGGCGACAGATCATTCGCCATCAAGTTAGTTCAAAAGTTTGCAGTTCAAATATTCTGCTGCTTTTCCAAGCCTTTTTACTTTCTTTTCTTCTCTTATCACACATTCAAGCCCCCAGTGTTCATGTATCATTTCAATCTAAATTCTTCACTTTCTTCTTACACATTACATTTCAGCATAGCAGTTTAGCTCTCGCCTTCGTACTGTGGGTGACAGGGCGTTCAGTGTTGCGGCCCCCACCCTCTGGAATGCACTTCCTCCTGAGATCCGGAACGCTGCCTCACTGGACATCTTCAAATCCTCACTAAAAACGCACCTGTTCACCATGGCCTTCGGACCCTAGTCCTTTCCTGGTCCCCTGGCTTCCTTTATTTTATTTTATTTTGTTCTTGTTTTGTTCGCTCCTCATTGTCTGTTTTGTTTTGTCTGTCCACCATGTACAGCGACCTTGGGTACCGTGAAAGGCGCTTTATAAATTCCATTTATTATTATTATTATTATTAGCGTCAGCTTTTCAGCATAAAGCATTCCCATTAGCAATTTCTTCAGGAATTGCATTCTCTAGTTCTAATTGTTTTCCCAATACTGTAAAATCTTAGAAAATTGCTATTGCTTCTCTTTTCCACATAAATATCACATTTGCAAACCAAATTAATGACAAAGACCTCTCAACCAAGTCTATATTGTTAATGCTCTGGTACAGACCATGATAGATAAACAATGTATTTGTGAATGTGAGAGCGAGATCCTTATGGAAACACTTTCATCACATTGAAAATAGAGGGCAAGGGAAGTGTGTTTACTTGAGTGTGGTGAGGGGGAAATATAATGGGGTGTTTTTTTAGACTTCGCAATAGGTCAATAGGCATGCATATGCATTTGGAGGGACTCCAGGTCTCCCTGCGCTCTATGAAATATCTTGAGTACTGTTACAGAGTGAATAGGAGGCTCACCGAAATAGCCTGGACTTTAGAAGTACTGCCAAGCTGAGAATAACTGAGCAAACAGTTAAGCAGAAGGAGGAAGGCAGTTACAAACTACTGTAAAGCTTCATAAATGATAAGATGTACATTCAGCAAGAAATACAATGATTACTTATACTAGGGCTGTGCGATTATGGCAAAAATCATAATCACGATTATTTTGGTCAATAATTGATATCACGATTATTAAATACGATTATTCATTGACTTTGAAAACATCCATTTATTGAACTTTAAAACAAATACAAATAATAATTTGAACAGTATCTTTTTAACTGTTGATTACCCTGAACGTATAATTCAACTTAAAAACCAATACAAAAAATAAATTAAATGATACATTTATATTTACATTTAAATAAATAATATCAAAATAATAAATACCAATAAACAAGATCAACAAATATTTTGGAGCGCACTTCAACAAGCTACTAAACATATGTAAATATGATAAATACAAATAAATTAGACTAAAATAAATTAGATCCAATATGTTGCAGTGCACGGTCACAACCAAGCAAAGCAAAATAATCGTTTTTTACGATTATGTTGTTTTCGTAATTGTGGCAGGCCAAAATCGTAATTGCGATTAAAATACGATTAATTGCACAGCCCTAACTTATACTGTTAATGTCGAATGGTGACTCATACTAACAAACCGAGTGAACAGTCGTCGATCTCGGTAGTGCTACAGAGCCTTTTAGCTTGTCATTTTAATGATATTGAACATTAAATATATGGTTAAGTCTTGCTGTTCTCATTCATCTCTGTTCCAGCAACACCAGGAAGCTTTTTTAAAGGAGAAAAGCGATTATAAGCTAGCTGCTCAGCACCAAACATCAGAAAGACAAAGTTAGCAATTAGCTAGCAGACATATGTAAGCTAGAGGTTAGCTAGAAAGCCTATCATCATTATTATTATTAGCAGACAAGCACACGCTTAACATTTTTGTATCGTAGGAATGTAAATAATAAAAGGCAAACTTAATGTACAAGTTTTGGCAGAAGCAGCACTAGCAGAATTGGTGTGGACACCGCGCTCGTGCGACCCGCAGCTGTTCAGTGGGGTAGCTATCACGCGCTGGCTCGAGCGTCAGGCAGCAATATGTCAGGGATTTGTTTCTGTTAGCATGTGTTGGAGTTCTGTCAGCAAATGGCTAAAAAGATTTATTGATGCAGCTTTAAGTATACTTTAACATTACATAACAGTTATTGGAGACCTGTGTCCTCCATTATTCAGAACACTTCGTTACTAAAGGGCAAATATCACAGGTGCAAATCATGACAAAATTCAAAGAACTTTCATGGGAATTTCTATTTGAACCGTTCCTTTGTTTTACAAGAGGACATACATATTCCAGCATTCCATAGTGAATTGTGCCAACCATGTGTTGCATAAGGCCCACAAAAATGTTCCTGGAATCATTAGTTGTTTTCTAGAAATTGTATTTGAGTTATGGCTAGGCCTACACAAAACAAACATTCCTGCCAGTGTCTTGAGTCTTGCTTGTTTGGATGTTCTCCCGGTCTAGCAAGCAGTCAACTAAGGATTGGTTGAGTATCAGACTGTTCTTTTTTTGCTTTTCGTTTTTGTTTTTAAAGGGTTGCTTGTACTTGCATCACAGTGAGAATCAAATGTGTACTGCTTTTCTGCTGCTGTAAAAGCAAATGTGATGTTTCATTGCATGAAAAACATTGTCCTGCAAAGTATCTTGTATCTACAACTGTCAAATCAATGTATGAGTGGAGTAAAAAGTTCAAAAAGTAAATTAAATATTGTACACTTTGTAGAACCAAAACAATAGAGTATGAGTGTTGTAAACGTAAAAATAAGGATTGAGCTCGAACTCTGCAGGGTATGCTATACAGAGTCTGAATGTGCACAAATGTGTACAGAAAACTTTTAAAAACATGGGCCATTTGAGTGAGGTTTTCAAGCATTTGTTGACTTTGGCTTCGAACCACCCCTCACCCATTCCTTCCCAGCCCTCAGATAACACATACAGTATTACACACGCACACGCACGCACACGCACACGCACACACACTAACATTCATTTGCCTCCCACCCGTATTTTCAGTGTGTTCCTTTAACAAACATTTCCTTTTTTTCCCTCTCCCTTATCTCCCAAGTGTATACGCATTCTTTTCTTCTCGGGTTGTATGACTCGAGCCAAAGCATTTTGTATAACAAATGTTTTTCACCACTTTGGGCAGGGGCCCAATATCTTTTCCTAGAAAATGATATGTTTTATTTGTTTCTGTTTATAATAAAGAAAACACGTTTTTCTAAGAAACTGCCTTATTGTGATATTTTACACAGAAAACTTGTCTCAAGTCCTTTACTTTTTCTGGACAGCATCAACAGTTAACATGATCCATGTCAACGTAGAGATGTGGGTGCAAACCAAAAGTTACGATAAGATAGACGCTTCTTTTGAAACGCAAAGGCTTATCTCATATTCTCTTGAAGACCATCTGTCCAATGCACACTTACAGTAAATGCACACACATAGACACACATATGTACACACTAACGCCGCTCTGAGTTGTGTTCATTTACGATGTTTGGGTGGAAACTGGGGCCGCCCAACCACTGAGGACGGGGGACAACATCTGTCCGCCATCTTTGTCAGTGCTGCCAAGTATTATGGTGAGATCCCTTTCGCCTCTCCGACTCTACCCCTCACACCTTCTATTTTTCCCCTCCTACTCCACCCCACCCCTTTTCATCACCCCATCTCCACCCATTTGCAAAGCAAGCGGAGGTTATTTGCGATACTGCTGCCCCCCCCCACCCCTCCCACTGCAGCCTATTCTTTCTTCACTGTTTTTCTATAAGAAGACGTACATGTATAGAGTTCCTTTTCCACCTCACTCACCCTCCGCTGTGCATCGACCTGAATACAAGCTACTGTCTTTTATTCATTAGTGTTTATCATTTGTTTTTGCATTTTAAGCTGTATTTTTTTATTGACATAAACAAGCATAAGAAAAATATTTTTTTGCATATTTAATGTTCTATCTATTAGCAACTAATCCTCATGTTTCTTCTTTCCCACAGGAAACGCGTGCAGGAGTAGTTTACGATGACTCTCAATGTGCCGGGTCTGGTGGTGATGGCAGGATTCTACCTGCTGATCTTGGGTACAGGCATCTGGGCCTCCTTTCGCTCCAAGAAGCAGGAAAATAAGTGCACAGGAGATGGCTTGGAGATAACGCTACTGGCTGGGCGCAACATCAACTTGCTTGTTGGCATCTTCACTCTCACTGGTAAAGCAGTCCGGGTTTATTTCACAGTTGACGGTTTTCAGACGCAATTATGCCATAAGATAGTAGAATTAATAAAGAGGCCCTAGTGTGCTTTCTGGGGTTTTCCCTTTCCTGTAATGTGCTCTATAGGTTTCTGTGCATGTCAATGGTTTACAAAGGCTAAAATCCCAAAGTTCCCTCCAGAGGGAGTCTACTCCCACACACTCCCTCCATTGGAGTCCTTTTTTTACTTTTGCAACACTACCTAACACTTGCACTCCTATTGCCTAGCACTCCAACACATTGTACAAGATAGGCTAAGGGGCAGGATATCTCTGAAAGTTTGACCAATCACAACAGAGCTGGCCAGCTAACCAATCAGAGCAGACTGGGCTCTGGTTTCAGACAGAGGGTGAAAAGAGGTGCTGCAGCACAGGCAGTATGAGAAAAATAAAGACCTTTTTGAACATTAAAGCATGGAAACATGTGAGAGTAGAGACACTAAATACAAATATGAACCTACAAATGAGAAAAATAGGGCCCCTTTTAAGTTTTGAGGAAAGAAGTGGATAACTGACATCTAGGGTGCTTTGTTTAGAAAAAGTGTTTGCGTGGTGTGTATTACAAAGTCAGTGGAAAGCACAAGCATGTGTGGTGTATATGTAATGTTTCCCTTTTTAATGTGTGTGTTCACAGCTACATGGGTGGGTGGAGGCTTCATCCTCGGTATAGCTGAGGCGGCATACAACCCCACACTAGGCGCAGTGTGGGCTCTGATGCCTGTGCCTTATGTCCTGACCTTCTTCTTAGGTGAGTTACACCACTGACCACCAAAGTTTATAACTACCATCTTCGTCTTCCCTGCTATTTTATTTTGAGTCCGTCAACGTCAGCTGATTGCAATCTGGGCCAAAGTAATTGGATACAACTGTGCTGATGAAATTGATATAATGGTGCATCATATTGCAAATTAAATATTTAAATGGAACAATCTAGCATTAATAGATAGTACACAAGGAGTAATTGGCTTCTATGCAGGGTTTGAAATGAAGCACTTGTAACTTACCACAGGCTGGTAACTATCACACACTAGGAAGCCACACGTGAATACAGATTTACCTCTTTTACCAGTATAATACTTTTAGGGTATATTATATTACATTTGAGTAGTCAGTAATCCAATTTGGAAGAAAAAAGATTGTCCTTGTCAACATTTAACTTTCAATGCATCTCTTGTTTTAGACTTATAAAAGTCATGTGGGGTAATGACACCTGGATACTAACCAAGCGACAATGTTATTTTCTCGGTTTCTATTTTAATACCAAGCACAAGCATGTAAAGGTTAATATTTCCATCATTATTAATCAATTCAGGAAATCTCTAAAATGAAGTTTCCTGAAGTTTGTACACACAGTTAGTAAAATACAATTCTAAAATGAACTTGTGTCTTAAGCTGAGGCGTTGTTGACATAACGTTGATATATAGTAACTCCCATCTGATATGCACAAATAAAAGTGTCGCTCAAGGTAAAAATAGGAGCATGAGAAAATCGGTTCAGCATTGTAACTTGAGGCAACAGGTGCAAAGGGAGAGTTCACCCAGAGATATAAGCCCCTTTCCCAAATAGTTCCAGGAAAATTATGGGATAATCATTCAGGCACCGCTAGTGATTTTCATTCAGGCACTACATTCAGAAACATTTCCATCTCACACCGTAGCACACATGCCATGGCAACAGAAAGGACAGCCAATCGGATAGTAATGCAACACTACTAGATGCCAACTGGCATAAAAGTCAACACCAAAAGAAGAAGATGAGGCCACTCCGGATGTACGTGTATGTTGGTTTGCAGATGCCCTTGGGCCATCAAGACTTTCCCATTGAAATACTTTGGAAAACAGACATCTAATCAAATAAATAAACTCCCCAGTTCAAACACTTGCCATTATTTAAAATATTAAGTCCCAAAGTTGTAAAATGCTTTAATAGCCGAATCCAGAATTAGTTTCCCCCTTCTAATCATTTGACTGATCAGACACCAGAGTAAGGTAGCCTCTGGGAGGTGGGGTTTAAGGAAAATGCTAGTGCACAACCTCGATGAGCCACATGCGTATACAGTTGTTTGAATACATCAATGGGCGGATGAGGTCTCTTGTTTTTGTAAGAAACATGGCCGAAAGCTGTTTTTGTCTATCGGCAATGTTCCTGTCATATATACATTTACTATTAAAGAAATGCTAAACCTTAAACAAGTCGCTGAGTAAAATGTCAGCAGAGTCTTGTGATTGGGTCACTCGTTCCAAGTGAAAGCATTCCAATTATATTAAGGGTTAATAGTTATGCATGATTAAGGCGCAGCTGCTTTGAGTGACAGGTGGCTGCTCTAACAAGATACTAGTCAACAGTTGTCTGCTCTGAATCATCACCCATAGCCGTCTTTTGGATTGGTCAGAAGTTTGTCTGAGTTTTCACTGTCAAGATGGCGACAGCCAGAGCCACCCACATTGAGCTCAGAACAGCTCTTCATGACGTCACGGAGACTAGCTCCGTATTTTGTACAGTCTTTGTTTACAACACAGTAATACCGACATTTTTCCTGAAAATGTTACAAGGTCTTGAGGTGGGAAATTTGCGGTACATAATTCCGGCTTTCTTTCACATATGACCTTAAGCTGGAAATGTTCTTAAACATTTCAGGGATTGACTGCATGTGCGAAAGGACCTTAATATCGCCCAGTCCTGAATTCACAGGGCTGAAAAACTGTCGGTAAACATTTGCAACAGGTGAAATCATCAGCCCTCCGGCCCCAATGTCACAACGAGAGTAACAAGAAATGGAATCTCCAAAGTCCCCGATCAGGAAATATAGCATTCCACAATGTTGGCCAAGTGGACCCATGAGATCAGCTGTAGGTGTTCATTGTGTTATCTGGAAGGAACAGTTGTTTTCTTATTGTTCACAACCACTCACCCTCTTCCTTTGTCATTCAATTGGGTTTTGACACAATAGACATGTTTGGCTTCATCTTTTCATTAATCTATCGTAATTCCTTCCCTCCTGCTCCAGGTGGGTTTTTCTTTGCCAGGCCAATGAGGGAGAACAGATATGTGACAATGATGGACCCCTTCCAGCAGAAGTACGGGAACGTTATGAGCAGTTTGCTGATCCTTCCCGCTCTGGTGGCCGATGTTCTATGGGTGGCGCGCACACTCGTCAGCCTGGGTAAGTTACCTCAAACAGTAAAAATGTGTGGCACTATAATATGTGCACACAAATACTTACACACATACTTGTACACACAATTATGCAGGCACCCACAGATCTGGGTACACCATGTCCACAAACATAGTAGAAAAACAGCCAGTTGCTTATGGCTGGTGCTGTTTGACCCTGAGCTGTAGATAACTGCAGGTGAAAACCAAAAACTAAGCCCTTACAACCTCATAAAATCATCACCACAAACTACAGCTTTGTAAATAAATGCCATTGACAGTCCAAACTGTTTTATTACCCAGCTAATATAATGGAGGACATTTTATTGCCAGGTGGCTCAGTTATTTGGCCCCCACATATTCAGCTGCTCTATTTTAGTACATAACAAGTTACATAAGAGGTATTTATGAAGTTTAACCAACACTACATAAAAGACATATTTGTGAAGATTACTAATTGTACGGTTAAATCTTTGACGCAAACATTTAATACGCAGATGCTGTTTGCTTTAATTAATTAAAGATGCAGTAGTTGACCATATCATTGATATCACAATGAGGGTACTTCACTAAAAATAATAACTAACTGCTTAATTGGTGTATTTATTATTATCATTATTCATATTATTTAATTTTTGATTATTATTGTGTAAAGTTTTTTCCTATTACTTTTTGAAAATGGCAATACTTTTTTTAATAAGTGATAATTGCAGTGTGTGTGTGTGTGTGTGTGTGTGTGTGTGTGTGTGTGTGTGTGTTGTGTGTGTGTGTGTGTGTGTGTGTGGTGTGTGTGTGTGTGTGTGTGTGTGTGTGTGTGTGTGTGTGTGTGTGTGTGTGTGTGTGTGTGTGTGTGTGTGTGTGTGTGTGTGTGTGTGTGTGTGTGTGTGTGTGTGTGTGTGTGTGTGTGTGTGTGTGTGTGTGTGTGTGTGTGTGTGTGTGTGTGTGTGTGTGTGTGTGTGTGTGTGTGTGTGTGTGTGCGGTTTTATAGTAGATACACATTTACAAGTGCTCTGCAGTGTGTGTGTGTGTGTGTGTGTGTGTGTGTGTGTGTGTGTGTGTGTGTGTGTGTGTGTGTGTGTGTGTGTGTGTGTGTGTGTGTGTGTGTGTGTGTGTGTGTGTGTGTGTGTGGTGTGTGTGTGTGTGTGTGTGTGTGTGTGTGTGTGTGTGTGTGTGTGTGTGTGTGTGTGTGTGTGTGTGTGTGTGTGTGTGTGTGTGTGTGTGTGTGTGTGTGTGTGTGCGCAGATAATGTTTTCTTATGTGTGTTTTTAATGCTGTGTTCTTTTCCAGCGTTATTTGAAAAAGGGGTTAAACATCGAGCAGCTTGTTGATTGTGAGAGGTGATCAACCATTCAAACCAGATTATTGTGTCATGAGAGACTTTTTTTTCCAATTGTGTGTGCAAGGGCTCTGTGTGATTGACAGAGGGCAAATGTTCCACGCGCAATCATGTCATTTATTTGTGTTTGCTTCAAAAGACATCAGTGAAATCCATTGACAGTGTTTGAGTCACCAAGGTAGCACTGTACGCTGTGCTGACGCTCCTCAAAAGGTCTGGTAGGGAGGCAGGAATGTTCCAGGCACCGCTCTGTCCAAACCTATAAAACCAATATAGAGTGGGGGACCCCTCACTCCTCAGTAAAACCTCCTGTCGTTGTCTCTGGGAAATTCATCCCTGACATGCTCTTGGCATAACACACACACACATAAACACTTGACACTTGAGTGCGCTGAGCATTTGACCCACAGGAGTTGTTGCTGGGAGACTGTGTGTGTGTGTGTGTGTGTGTGTGTGTGTGTGTGTGTGTGTGTGTGTGTGTGTGTGTGTGTGTGTGTGTGTGTGTGTGTGTGTGTGTGTGTGTGTGTGTGTGTGTGTGTGTGTGTGTGGTGTGTGTGTGTGTGTGTGTGTGTGTGTGTGTGTGTGTGTGTGTGTGTGTGTGTGTGTGTGTGTGTGTGTGTGTGTGTGTGTGTGTGTGTGTGTGTGTGTGTGTGTGTGTGTGTGTGTTATAAACTGAGCTTCATGGGCTGCATGAGCAAGCGTGTGTGTGGTGGATCAGTTCCAGAGAGGATTTATCTTTTAAAACACACTTCCCATGTGCTGTCAGTTAGCTGTGCATTATCAACAAAACACAGGCAGGGTATAGTTAATGCCGGGAAGCAACCGGGGAAAGGACAGTAAGTAAGGTGTGTGTTTGTGCTGGTTGAGCACACACATGCATGAGTTTTAAAAATGGGACATGGGTCTAAAAACAACACGAGGGGGTATTAAGGCAACTCTTTCCCCCCTGTCTAACTCTGGTGCGGCTCATTAAGTCCCTAAGGCCCCTAAATCTCATTCCCCCTTTCTTCTTCCTAAATGTGGCACTGGGTGGGGGGAACAGGTCAGCACAGAACCGATGACAGATGTTGAATATTGGTGTTTATCCAGGGATAACCAGATCGGGGTTACATTTTGTTGAGATGGATTTCAGTTCACACGTGGCATCAGAATGCATTTGGACTGACTGCTTGTGGTTAAGAGTATAAAAACAAATCAGTTACACAGAAAAGCTATACAGAAAATGTCTAATGAGAAGATACAAATTAAAGCCGTTAATAAACTTAAAAGCAAAGAAAAAAATACAGTAACTTCCATTTGATGTTCTGAAGTCGGAAAGTAAAGACTGAAAATACTCACGTTAAAAACAAAAAAGTACTCAAACTAATAGTTGATGATTAATTAAAGTACTAATAAATACATAGATTTATCTTTGTATCTTTAGTTGTCATGTATACATTTGCGTCACCACCTATATTTAGGTCTTACACAACAAAATGCATTTTTGTGCCAAGTGTGAACAGCTGGTTAATAACTTAAGTATTCTATCTTGTTTTAATGCCAGTTAAGTGACAAGTTAGTCTGTTTGTACAGTAAATACACAGTCATTATTTAAGATAATATGATAAAGCAGCTGCAGAAAAAGAAAAAGTTTCCAGGATAAGAGATCAGATTTGAAAAACTTCAAGCACATGTGGTTAAAGGGTAAAAGTTACACACAATTATGAGACAATGAGTCAGAGTATGCATCGTAAAGCTGGTGCAAAGATGGGGTGGTTTAGAGGGTTGGGGGCTCAGCAGGGTGGTAAGTAGCCATCGATGGTGCCGGTCTGACACTTCTCTGTTTAAGGGCATTGTTGTGGTGTGGCTGCAGGCTGCGGCTGGGGGGACCCTGGCAATGAGGAGAGACGGTGAAGGTAGTCACGTTTTGCTTGCCTTGTTTGAGTAACAAGATGTCTTTTTATTTATTTTGTACTTTCTGTTTACAATCACTTATATATATTTTTTTACACATTTGTTTCAATACTTGAAGACAATTCTCTTCACCTTCTGCTTGATTAATTAAGAATGATCAGTATTAGGGTGATAATTCATCCAAGAGGGTGAAAAAGGCATATTTTGGAGTCACAATCAATAGGCTGCTTCTGTTATGTGTTTCTGTACAGTTTTTTATAATTTTATCATTATCACTTTTATGTTGACTTGTTGCTTAATCTTAATCCCATGTATGCTTCTTGAAGGTACAGCCCACCCCAAAATCAAAAATGTACATGTAGGGATATTCATCAATCTAGTTTTGGTGCGAGTTGCCATGTGTTCAAGAAATCGGCTGTAGAGATGTTTGTCTTTCCTCTAAACTAGATGGCACTTGGCTCTTGGTGCTCAACGTGTGGATTTACTTTGGCAATTATTTCTGGAGAGATACATTACAGTCGATTTTAACAAGTGCCATTTAGTTCCTTTATATAGGCGAGAAAGCAGACATTTCTACAGCCGATACCTTCCATGCTTGGAAAGTTAAACCTAAACATTCAAGATTGATCATTAGCACTACAGGTTAAAGGTAACATGCATTTTTGATTGTGGGGTAAACTGCCCCTTTAAAAGTTTAAACCAAAGTGGCCCACACTGAAGTGTAACCTTATTCTCGACCTTATACCTAGAAACATAATGTTTTTCTTTTGTTGGATAAAGTTTAATGTTCACTTTTTTTTGGAAAATAATGCACTGAGATATATGAACTGTATAACAAGACAATGCCATTGCCTAGCTTCTAAGTACATCTTTAGAGTAAGTACAAGTGGATGTATATGTTTGTGTCCGTGTGTGAGGGAAGATAGTTAAAAACAAAAGAGAGACTTAGCCTCTTAATTCTACTATCAAAGCAAGCATTTGCATGTATCTGTAGAAACCAACAACTGTACATTAGACAAGTTGCTGTCAGTCCTCTCAGCTTACCGCTCTGCTGTGTTACTTCAGGTGGAACAATGAGTGTGATCTTGGACCTACCCTACGTCTACTCCATCATCATCTCCTCAGTGGTGGCCATGGTCTACACACTGATGGGGGGGCTCTACTCTGTGGCCTACACAGATGTAATCCAGCTCATCCTCATCTTTGTCAGTCTGGTGAGTAACAGTAAAAGCAGCCTTTTTCAGCTGTCAAATCAAAGAGTTTCAGCTCCATTTTTGTTTTAACCCTCCTGTCTTCGGGTCAAATCTGACCGATTTACAACTTTCATCAATCATAACTTTTTTGTTTTGACTAAGAAAACCTAACATCTGCTATTAACTGTGGGAAATGGAACACAGAGCCCTACTGTAACTCATAGTTGTGTATAGAGCGGAATATAAAAAGAAGAAGATATACTTTATTAATTCCCAAGGGGGAAATTACTTTTATCACTAACATTACACACACTGGTTGATATACATGAGCACACAGGACCACATGCAGGATTGGAGAGGGAGAGTAAAGGGGCAGCCAGTTCACCGGCGCCCAGAGCAGTTGGGGGTTAGGTGCCTTGCTCAAGGGCACCTTTGCAGTGCCCAGGAGGTGAACTGGCACCTCTCCAGGTACCTTTCCAGGTACAAGTCCACGCTCTGTATCTGGATAGCAGGTTGTCCATTTATATCTCCATTCGATTATTTCACATGATCTTCATCAGTAGAAGCTTGCCACATTGCTGATAATCTGATCAGATGTATCCTTGTGTTTGTGTATACAGTGGGTGTGTGTCCCTTTCCTGATGACAAATCCTCACTCTTTGGACATCTCACTGACAGCCTACAACCAGACCTTCCAGGCTCCCTGGGTTGGCACGGTGGAGCTTGATCAGGCCGGAAAGTGGTTTGATGACTTCATGCTGCTGGTGAGTGGAGTGGGGGAGGCTATTATACGAAAGCCAGACAAAATGATATGCCGTCTAGAACACAGTTTATGCAGTAGTTGTATTACTCTTGTTGTCACCACAGTTCAATTAAATTGACCCAAGCATGATGCCAGTTAAATGAATTGGGCTTATTCCATTAGATCAGCAAACAGCCAAGCATAACAGCAAAATCATGAGAGGATTGTTCCGTCTTACCCTGTCCTGCTGTACAAACTGACTTCTGTCATCATGTCTGAACTGTGTGTTTGTGCCAGGCTCTGGGTGGTCTTGCCTACCAGGCGTTCTACCAACGAATCCTGTCCGCCTCATCTTACACCCAGGCTCAAGTGACCTGCTTCGCCTCTTCAGGCTTCTGCCTGGTGCTTGGTATCCCTTCCATTCTGGTGGGGGCTGTGGCTGCGTCTACAGGTTAACACCACTGGATAATGATTATGTCAGCTTTCCTTAGCTTACAGTCTGCAATGATCTATTTCGCATTTCAAACAGAATTCATAAGTTTCGTTAAATAATTTATACTGAATGATCAACTTTTCAAAGATTCCTTTGGTTTTAATCCAAATATTTATCTGTCATTCCGCCCAGACTGGAACTCAACCGCCTATGGATTGCCCACCCCATATGATCGCGACCAGGCAGGTTCCATCCTCCCCATCGCCCTGCAGTACCTCACACCCCCATACATCTCCATCATTGGCATTGGAGCAGTAGCTGCTGCCGTCATGTCTTCCATGGACTCAGCTCTTCTGTCCTCCGCATCATTGTTTTCCTCAAATATCTACAAGAACATCCTCAGAAAACAGGTGAGAATTGGAGAAAGATATCAATGGTGTGCATGTCCATAACGCAATATTGGACATGCAGTTGAGAAAAGGATCTTCTAAAGTTTGAAGGCTCTGTCACAAAATCTAAATTTGAGCTATAGTTGTATATTGTTTGCCAGAAGACAGCAGGCTTGGCAGGGTGTTGCTAGGTTGAGTTTCGTCTTTTAGGCTCACTTCTCACCAATATTGCTGATGTGAGGTATATGGGCACAAATTAAGTTCTGGGTAGTTTTAACCACCTTCTGCATTTAACAATAACTTGGCAGGAGAATTTAGCCTTACTTAGTTTCCTTGTTATACTGTACTCTCTGTTTGGACAATCACAATGTTAAGAGCCAGTATGAATAATACTTTTTCACCAGAGGCTGCAGAGAAGGTAGTTACTGCTAGTCTGTTTTAGATAGACTAGTTAGCTTAAAGCAGGACTTTCTATCATTCTTTGATTGGTCCTTGCCTTTTTTATGCGTTATAACAAATGTAGTCACTAAGATGTTTGTTTATTTGTTGCACACTTCCACAGCATGGTAATGACAGATTATTGTCTTAATGTTGTCTCAATTTAAAAAAAAAAATCAGACATTTGCATTTCTACAGACATTTACAGTCCAGAGACTGCATCACAATACTGTACCCGCAACACATCTGGAGGCAGCACAGAGAAGCAATTGACTTGCAATTCTGTAGATACTTGACATAGAATGTGGGCATTGCTGTACATACTGTACACTGTGACAACTCCTCCACATGTTTGCTCTCTTGCAACAATGATTTCATTATTACACCCCCAAAGAATGTTCCATGTAATGAGGCCCTTCACTGTCAGCTTTTGTAGTGCTGTAACTTTGAGGTACTTTGACTTTGTAAGGGGATCTGAAGACCAGATGATCAAAGATCCCTAACAAGGTGGAATGTGAAACTCATAGGGGGTGTATTGAATATTTCAATTCTTTGAAGCTTCATTCATACTGTTGACATTCAATCTATTCACTCTGTTCAGCGCTGGCATTCCTGCAAGTAAAAGTAGATTCCAGTGGAGGTTGCGTAACATTGTTTCCGACTTTCATGATCCAAACATTTCGTATAACTCCAGAGGGTTAAGTCCAAAAGTCAACTTTTATTTAAAAAAGGGAGATGCAATAATATACAAGATTCACATCTTTGTTTAATAGTCTAATCACATATTCCGCTTTAATCTACATTTGTTGCCAGGGCTGCCCCGCGCAAAGGTGTGTCATGAGGCCCCCCGGGTCTGTACACAAGTCGTCACTCATCGCTGAACGCTCATGAACTGTTAGCGCCGGAGCCTCCCTCAGGAAACTGCGGAGCGCCGCATTTGCGCATTAGATGATTTGCCCCGCATTTCCACATAAGATGAGGCCCCCTACGCAACATGAGGCCCCACGCAGTCTGCGTTATCTGCCTGTTTGTTGCATTTAGCCTTTCAAATACTTCAATCAAAAAACGTTTAGCTTTGTGCACACAAATCAACAAAACATCTTTTAAGGATGATGGATGACATATTTTCTAGGTTTCATTTAAAAAAAAAAAAAAACAGTAGCAGTTACAAAGACAAAAAAGACACAACCCCTCAAAACTTTCATTGTCTTTCTTGTTGTTCTCTCCACCCCTCCAGGCGTCGGACCGTGAGATGCAGTGGGTGATCCGTATCTCGGTGGTGGTGGTGGGTCTGGCCGGCACTGGCCTCACCTTTCTGGACACCAGCGTCCTGGTCTTCTGGCTGGTGGGCGTAGATATGTCCTACACCATCATGTTCCCACAGCTGGTCTGCGTCCTCTTCTTCAAGGTGTCGAATGCATATGGAGCCCTCATTGGCTTCATGATGGGAATCATCTTAAGGTTCATGAGTGGTGAGCCCCTCATTGGCCTCCCTCCTCTCATCGAGTTCCCCGGCTGCCGACCGGACGCTGAAGGAAGGCTAACCCAGTACTTCCCCTTTCGCACAGCTATCATGATTTTGTCGCTATTATCCATCCTGCTCTTCTCCTGGCTTGCAGCCATCATCATCAACAAAGGTCTGGTGCCCGAGAAATGGGATGTATTCAAGATCAATCGCAAGCGAAAACCATCAGCCGGAGCTGCTGAGGCCGAGAAGGCCAAGCAGGCTAAGGAAGAAGTCTATGAGGCAAAGCAGCTACTGGACAATACCACCAGTTTCTGAACTGGCTAACGAGGACGGAGAGAGGATGGGCATAGGCTGAAGGCGGACATGTTTGTGCGCCTGCTAAGCAGGAGGGGGAACAACAACAAAGGCTAGACAATATGTACACATTGTGTGCAGTATAACAGTGAATATGCGATGACATTTACATTAGTAGAGGTTGATCTGAGCACCTTATTTCATTAGTTGCCTTATTGTCTTGTACAGAGAACACAGTAAAACTAGGCTCTGATTTGTTCAGTTCATCGCGCTGCGGCAACACAAAAGACAGAGTCAACCCAACAAATTATAATAGATTTCAATTCTTAAACAAAAGAACACAACAAGCCACCTGCCTCTGTATTTACTGAATTATCATGAATCAGTTTGACTCGAGTGTGACCGCCAGGGAACGCTGTACTGTACTGAAAAGGTCTAGCCTCTTCCTCAGTTTGAAACTCTGTCCAATCCAAAGAAAGTGAGTGCCCTCCGCACTGTTGCGGTGCATTTTCTTTTAGAAAGATGTATTATTATTTACCCATTTATTTGAATGTGACTAAATATATCTACCTTTCTCTAGCTCGAGCTCGACTTAACAGCACCTTGGATTCTTCTTTACTTAGTTAGTATTATATTTTCAATATTTACCACCTAAAATGATATACACAAGTTTAGTTTATTTACACTCATTTTAGGCACATCTCTTTCGCAGCAGTTCATACTCCTAAAAAGTGCTTCTCAATATTTGTAAAAATGCATCTATGCAGGGAGAGGATAACCATATGTTACATTATAAGATATATTTAAACTTTTCGAGCAACTTTTACCTCCATCCCTCAAATGCTACTCCATAGACACCAGCAAGTTTAAGAATGTAGTTTTTGAACTGCACAGGTATGGATTAAATAGAACCCCCCTGCCTGACCGCTGAACTGCCCCGCAGTGCAAATGCTGTCGACCTTGCCCTGCAAGAAATACCTATAATTAAAAACAGCAACCAAACACATAGACGAAAGTGACCCAAGATCTTCTTATAATTATTTATATTAATAATAATACCTGTTTTGCCAGAAATGTACCTCACTTTTCTCCTCCTGAAGTTTCTTCTCCGTCTTTTAGTACGTGTGGAGGGATGTGCCTTTTAGTTTGTCCATGACTTTGTAATCTATTGGGTTTTTTTTCTTTTAAAGCTGTAGTTTACAGTGGGATCATATTATTTTTCTGAGGTGGTGAAAATATTTGCAGCTTTTATCCTGAAAATGTACATTAATGTTTCCCAATAGTACAAATTGAACTGACTTTAAATGATTGAGTTTTGTTAAAGAGCAAATTGTTCAAAGACACTCGTGTTTATTCATGTATTGTTCTGTTTTACTGAGCATACATTGTGGCCTGCAGTCAGAGGGCCTGTTGCTCAAAATATCACTGGAAGCTGCTTTCGATTGGCTGTCAGTGGCCTATACTGGTCGTCCTAAAAGGGGTGTATACTCTTGTCACTATGCAAATGCCTCATGGAGTGGTTATGTTGGCTCTAAGTATACAAAACGTTAACCTATTATTCTGACTTCTATCCTAAGCATACGGTATGAATGCCATTTCCAAAAACTGATTGCACAGAACGAACTGTTCTAAAAAAGGACGCATTCAGACACGATGCATCCATGTTTTTCTGCGTGATTGTGATTTCTACCTGTCTTATTAACTGTACAGTTTAATCATGATATGTATATTACACATTACATGTTGTATCAAAGTTGATTGCAAAAACGTGTTTTATTTTAAGTTAGCAACATTTAAAAAGAAAAAAATTAACTTCGATTTTGCAGAACATTACATGTCATTTTACCCTCATAATCTTCTAAATCAAAAGGAGGCAGATTTATTTGTTTTACCAGTGATTCTGAACAGTATTTTCCATGTCACAGGAGTAGCATATTACAAACGTCATAGCCATTTACAATGCACACACCTACCTGACCGTTTCTCCTGACATAATGTGGAGAAAAAAAACAGCGGTTCTCAGCAAGCTTTAGTTGTAAGGAATGACAAAGCCTTATTAATGATGTGCATGTGCTGTCTATTGTCATCTGTGCATTTCATTACAATTTGTGGAGAAGTGTTTATTATAAAACTGAACAGTTTTATAATAATGAATATAAAACTGAACAGTTGTATAATAAACCATGAATAGGTGGTGAGCTCTATATTGTATTTTCCCCTATTATGTATTTGGTTTTATACTATCATGCATGTTGAGTTTCAATAACAGAGTTGTTTGTATATTGAACTTTGGTCATGGCTGTTTTACCTTGCCACTTGGCAAGATCCTACTTTGTAATCCATTATTGTAAATCCCCATGGGGTGATGTTCTGTCAGAATAAAGGCTAAAACCAAACTACTGTTTTTTTGCTTTTTTAAATAGTCTTAGTGGCTTATGCAACATGTTGGAGCCTTCACATTAAGTTTTTTTGTAAATGTTGTTGTCAATATACATTTGCGAAATGGTCAATCGATGGCCAAAATTGCAAAGGCTTTACAAAACATCAGTGCTTCAAGAGGCACATAGCATTCCTTAAATGTGTTCAGGTTAAGGTGCGGCCCTTGTGTTATGGCCTGCCCTCTTACTAGATTGAAGTGCTGTATTCATAACCGTCATATTCTTTTACAAAACTTGGAACATTTAGTTTGCAGTTTAAGAACCACGCTAAGATAATTAAAGTCTTATTTATCTAAACAGTCTCAGTTTGTGCATGTTAACAACATGGAGTCTTGCAAGGTTATGTACTTAGACATTTTCACCTCATAAATACTTCATTTAGGCAATGTTATCAGAAAACACTCAATAAACTTTCATTACTATGCAGATGATACGCAATAATATCTATTGATCAGGCCAACTTAAACCAGTCAGCCTAGTCAGTTAGCTGAACATCTAGCATGCTTAAAGGACATGAAAACTTGCCATATCTGACAGACAAAACTGGATTCATTATACTGTACAAAAAGACAAGACGATAGTCAAAAGGTCAAAGCTAATTCTCTAATTAGGCCAATTCGCTGGTTATTGAACGCCACATAGGATACATGCAAGGAGGTAAACAATATTACGAGATCAACATGTTATAATCTTTTTTTTAGCATGGTCGTATTTCTAACACATAACATCAGCATGCTGACATTAGCATTTAGCTCAAATAAATGCTTTGCCTATAATAACTAGCTAGCTGTAGACTTGTCCACACAGTGTAGGTCCATAAAGGACCAATGTAACATACCTAGTAAATATTAAGTTGGTTTATATTATACCAAAGTACCAGACTGGGACACTAGCTCCATGTCTTGTTTGTTGTTCTGCTAAGCTAGGTAGTGGGAGATGGTATGTGAGCGGGGGTTTTTCAAAGTAAACCTGAGGTGTCTAACAGCCCAGAGAAGGGTTTCTTTTTACTTCTATTTTGGGATTTGAATTTTGTTGTGGCAGTTCAGATATAAACTGTGATGCACCGGATCAGTCTGTGAAACATTTCAGAGGTGTTAATTTCCTCACTGTGAAGTGGTCCAAGTCACATCTTTAGTATCAGGTACATGATTTTTGATATGGTAACCGAATGACTTTGTTGTCTCGTTTACCACCTAGTTTCAGGAGGTAAAGGTAAGGTAGAGATGAGAAGTAAAATTACTTTAACAGTTTGCTCATTTCAGTAAACATAGGCTACAGGGCACTTAGAACAGAGGTATTAGAAAAGAGAACAAACGTCATGGTTTTATCTCTGTCGTGTTACACGTTGCAATTCAATAGAAACAGTGAAACAGTAAGGTTTTAGTGCTGACTTTTAGCCAAAAGAGTAGACATGTTTGGAAATACACTTACTCTCCATCCTACAGCGATTGAAGTGAGCTAATAGCTAACTATTTTAACTGTTCCTCTCCTACTTTTACTGTACATAACAGTTTATTTTATACTTTAAGCTATTTACATATATATATATATATATATATATATAAATAGCAACGCAGAGATGTGTTACTGTTCAGCGTTATGATTCATTATGATTTGTTCAGGAGATCTATATACAAGCATGTCTGACCTGCCAGTGTTTCTCTTTCACATTGTTAAACTGTGAGGTCATGTTGTCTGGACTTGATATTTAGTTGCCGAGTGTGTGTGTTCTTCCAAGCACTAAAAAGAGTGTTTGGTTGGTTATCAATGTGCCTTTCTGGTCTGTTGCACCAAAAGTTTCTGAATGTTTTGAACCTTTGTGTAACTTGAGTTTTGAAAGTGTTAAGGCATGTGCCCGGATCTAATTTGTAACTTTTTGTTTTGTTTAACCTTGTCCCTTTCTTTCGTTGTCGAAAGTTGTCTCATTTTGCTTTGGTATTGGCTAGTGAGCCCTGCTTATTTTAGAGGTTCAATGTTTGGTTAAACGATTCAGCTATTTCTCTTCCTTTTCCCCTTGGTAATTTAATCAGTTGTGTCATAAACACCCAAACAGAAATATTAATACAGGGTGCTTAAGTCCAAATTATGTCATGCGACTAAGTTTCATTTTAACACTTCTGGTCCAACAGTTAGCCATTTAGACGAAATTCGAGCTTGGGGCTAAACAAGCGTATGAGTTGGAATGGTTTTAACATACATTGGCTACATGAGGTCCAGCCTGGTACTCACTCTGTTGGATGGATATTGGTTTTTCCAAAATGTACATCATTGCAGATAGCTTCCCTGAAAAACAAATGTTAAACCACATTTAAAGATCCTTTTCTAGGAACAGTTGAGGTTATGTATTGACTTGACATCTCAATCGTTAAAATATAATAAATGTAAACTATAACGTTAACTAAACGAGTCACAGCTCTGGAATGTAAGTTATTGACGTTGTCATTATTCTGCCAGCATAAAGCATTATGTCTGTGTGATGCAGGTGGTGAATTGCTCAATATCAGGTTATGCGAGTCATTAAGCTGGCTAAATGTGTTTTAGCTAACTAGAAAAGCGTATGCATATGATTCAGTTACTTTACCATTCATCCTTTTACATTTTCAATAAGTAAAAGTCAGACAACATCCTCTTGATGCATTGGATGAAATATCATGAGCAGTCTACTCTTATCTTCCTGCTTTTTGGTTTTATACAATTTACCTCTCCACTCTTCTCTTCTGAGAAACATTTTTCTTTCATTTCTTTAGTATCCTATCCTAGTGATAACCCAGTATCACTATTAACTGGTCTCCAGCAGCTGGTCTGACATGTCATCCACCCCAGTCATTTGAGAACTGACATCCAAGACTTAAGGCCATGGCCAGGAGAGAGAAACACACTGATGCCATCTACCTTTAGGGGAAATTAATCCCTATTGAAACTATTTTAAAAGCAGCCCCTCGCATATCAACAGAGCTCAAAGAGCCCTCAGGTGAAATTATCAGTAGTGCCTGTTTGCAAACATCCAAGTGTGATTTTTTTTAAGTAAAAAGAAACTACTTCTGCTTACGAAGAGAAACTATACATAGATGTGACCATAATATATCACGCTCTTGTTCTCTCATAGCTGTTGCAGTTTCCCATAGCAAACAAACAAACTAGACCAGATTACATGACTACCTTACAAAGAGAGACAGAGAGCCAATGGTTATGGTAGATACTTTGCACCCTGCTCTTATGGTGTTGTTCTATGCAGCATTATGAACCTGGACAACAGTGAAAAATATACTCTTCATTAGGTTGGACCTGAAATAAAAAAGTGAAGTGCAACGTATTGTTGATCCACATGAATCCAAATTCCTATGATTGTATGAAAACATTTAAAAATAAATATAATTGTATTTATTATAAACTTGTTTATAATAATCACTGTGTATATCACCATTCAAACATGTTTAAAACACTTTAATAAACCCCACACAACTCAATAAACACTGTGAAATGTTCACTTTATTTGATCATTTAATTTCGTTCATATTTCATTTTTGATTATTATTATAGTGTTGAACGTTCAAAACAAAGACGTATAGTAACCTAAAGCTCTTACAGAATCCAAGTAGTGACCTATGAACACTGCGCTGTAGTGGCTGCAATAGATTCTAATAAAATGTTAACACGTTTGATCTCACACAGCATTCTTTTGTGACAATCCATAGAACGGATTGCAGTCTCTGATGGTGTTCATGAACTGCCTATCACTTGCATACCCCATCACAAGGTTCTATACATGAAAGACATTGTAGTAATGATATTACACTGCCAGCTGCCGTGCAATGTCCATGGGAATCTGTGGCAGCTGCTTCGATCCCAGCAGCTTTAATTCAGTGCAAAGCAACCAAATTAAAGTCCTTGCAGCCAATCAGTAAACAGAATCCTCCGACATGATCTATGTTTCATATAACTTCTTCCCATCTTAAAAATGAAACCAACATAAATGAAGGGAAACATCTTTTGGTTGACCTCAGCAGTATTGTGGCACACATAAAACGTTTGCTAGCCCCCGGTGTGAATTCAGCAAACCCTTTGCTACCAAATGTCTGAAGCTCGTATCAGTTTCACTGTTCACTGTGAGTCTCATTTGCAAAAGGTATGCATCCAGCCAAATATGTGCAAATAGCAGATGAGCATGGGGAGACTCTTTGCTCGTCAGTGGAGTTAGTGGTACATTTCTCTGAGGATTGTAATGCTCTTGTTTGTGCAGGTACAGCAGCTGAAAAATATGTGGAATCCTTTGCCAGTGAGTAAGCAGTAAACGGGTTTCTGTCTGTCGACTGTTGGCATTGATACGGGTTTGTTTGTGTGCTGTAACTGCTTCCAGTACTTTTCCACTGACGGAGCTGCCAACAAGGCCGGCTTAGTACCTCCAGGGGCCCCTGGGCACTGAGAGCTCAGGGCACCTCAACCCACGTTCCAACACGTAACAACACGCCTACCCAACACAACCAATATTTAAAATGTTCATTCAATCTGGCATGTCAACCGCACACCTATTTGTCAAAAGCAGGGACGCAGGTACATAGTTCAATGTGAGTGCGTGCGTGCGTGCGTGCGTGTGTGTGAGAGGGAGAGAGTGATGAATGTTTGAATGCAGCCACCACTCTCTCTTCCTTTTCTTTCTTTTTCTTTCTTTTCGCTGCCCCGCTGGGCGTTTGGCTGCTACCGGCACCATCCATTGTTTTAGCTCACGTGACACAATGTCAATGTGATATGAGTGAAGGTGGGGTTGTGATTCGGCTATAGACCGCCGCCGCGTAGTAATAAAGTTGGGCGCATACATAGTGAGACCTACAGTATAGAGACGGTTTAGAAAATATATTCATTTGACCCTATAGAAAAGCCGAGTTATTTATTGCGGCGGAGAGTGAGTTTCATTTAAAACAATGTATTTTTTGTTCTTGTCGCTGAGGGCCCTCTCTTGC